CTGCTCCCTTCCCAGGCTCAAACAGGGAGCTGGACTGGGAAGCGGAGAAGCTGGGACACGAACCAGCACCGCTAAAATCACATTCTGCTTAAAAAAACAAAATGAGGGGCATCTGGCCCAGTGGTTAGATGTCTGAGCTCCTGGGTTTGCTGTCTAGCTTGGGGTCCTAACTGTGGCTAATCCCGACCCTCAGTGGCAGCGCTGACCACCCATGCCGGTCCCATCCCCCAACTTCTGCCCTGACCCTGTTGCCACTGCAGGTATTTGAGAAATGAACCAGTATTTCAACCTCTGCCTCCCAAAGACACACCTAAGTTGTAAACAGGTTGAACATCCCTAATCCAAAAAGTCCAAATCGGAAATGATCCAGAAACCTGAAACCTTGTGAATTCTAACACACCGGAAATGGAAAATTCTAAACCATGAACTGCTTCAACCGTAATTGTAAAGAACATACAATTACAGCCATGTGTATATATAAAATGTTTATGAAATAAATGAATTTGAACTTAAGTATTCACATTTAGACTCGGATCCTTTCCCCAAGATATCTTATTATGCATTTGCAATAGGCCCAAATGTAAAATAAACAGATAAACCAACACTTCTTGCCCCAAGCATTTTGAGTAAGATTTCCTCAACCTGCAAAATCAATAAACAAATGGCGTATTTGGATAAGCACACAACTCAAAACAGAAAGATGGCCTTTTTTAAAGATTTATTTACTTATTTGCAAGGCAGAATTGTACAGAAAAACTGAGAGCCAGAGAAAGGGATCCCCCACGCTCTGGCTCCCTCCCCAGATGACCACAACGGCCAAGGCTGGACCAGGGCAGAGCCAGGAACCTGAACTCCGTCTAAGACTCCCACATGGGTATCAGGGGCCTAAGACCGTGACTCATCTTTTATTGCTTTCCCAGGCTTGATTGGAAGTGGAGAAGCCAAGTCTTGAACTGGTGCACATATGGAATGCCATCATCACACTCGGCAGCTTAATCTGTTGTGCCACCATGCCAGCCACAGAAAGGTGGCTCTTTTAGATGAGATTAGATTCATTAGTATCTCTAGGATATTGGTTCCAGATCTTTCTCTTGAATACCAAAATTCTCAGATGCTCAAATTCCTTTTTTTTTTTCTTAAAGATTTATTTATTTCTATTGGAAAGACAGATTTACAGAGAGAAGGCTGGTTCACGCCCCAAATGACCGCAATGGGCAGAGCTGAGCTGGTCCAAAGCCAGGTGCCAGGAGCTTCTTCTGAGTCTTCCACAAGGGTATAGGGTCTCAAGGACTTGAGCCACCATCCGCTGCTTTCCCAGGCCACAAGCAGGGAGCTGGACGGGAAGTGGAGCAGCCAGGACACGAACCAGTGTACTCAGGGAACCAGCGTACACACTTGGAGGTGGAGGATTAGCCAACTGAGCCATTGTGTGGTCCCCTCAGATTCTTTATATAGTGCAACAATAATTGCATGTCATCTACACATATCCTCCCTTATACTTTAAGAAAACATCCACATTAGCATATGATGCCTAATACAAGGTAGCTGCCTCACAAACACCTGTTGAACTGCATTGTTTAGGGAATGAGACAGCCAGAAACTAAGTACACACAGGGACCATCGTCTTAAGCCTAACCACACGGTACATATCAGGAACAGGATGCTGGGCCAAGGCAGAACCAAGTCCTACAGAAGGAGCAGCATAAATGACAGGCTCCATGGGGGTCTTCCTACTAAACCGGAGTGACCCGCCCAGTGGGGCGAATGGTAATACAGAGAGGACACCTTAAGGAGTCTGAGTTCCAGGGTGAAGGGTGAAGAGCAACCTGAGCATGAAACCTTCCCGCAGCCTCGACAACAGGTCTGCCTGGAGCGAGCAGCCGGAAACCAGAGGGACAAAGAAGGGCGAAACCCGGTGTGGCACAGAGGAACAAACACCCATCATCGCGAATGAGTAAGGGGCAAAAGTTTAAGTAGCACCTGGTGGGGGCCTGAGTGGCACCTGACAGGAAGGCGAGTGCCCGCATGCTGGACACGTGGAGGATGGTGGAGGCGGCCAGGAAAGCCGTGGGAGACCAGGAGCATGGGAACCAGGGGCAGAGGAGGACGGGTCAAGGATGACTCAAAGCGGTACTCATGGAGCAATCCTCCAGAGGGGGAGAGGAGCAGCCGGTTCCCAGCACAAGGGGCCTGGGAAAACTCCTGTAGGTTAGCAACACCCGGAGCTCCGGGAGGTCAGAAGTCATCCCTGTCTGTTGCTGTCTCTCCCCGGCCCCTGCAATGACTATACAGCTGAACGCTGGACCACAGGCAGCAGTGCAACACTCCACTGGGCATCTATTACATCCCAAGGCAACGCAAAGCAGAGGCGGGCCAGCTGGCCAGCCACTTCTGGAGAAATGAGTCTGTGTGACAACACAGCTCCCTAAAGGACAGAAGAGTCTGGGTGCAGGTTGGCCTACAGGTTAAGATGCAGCTTGAGTTTCAAGGTCAAGTCCCGGCTTCTTCACTCCTGACCCAGCTTCCGACTAATGCACACCCTGGAGAGGCAGCAGATGGCTCAAGGAAGGATCTGATCCCTGCCATCCCTGTGGGAGACCTGGAATCTACCTGATTCCCAGCCCAACCCGATCCAGTCCCTCTCTGGCACGTATGTGAAGTGTGAACCAGGATATGGGAGATAGCTGTTTCTCTGCCTGAAACAAATTAAAAAGAAAGAATATAATATAAATGGGGGTAAAGCGAAACCCAGGACAACACCTGTACTCCTTGCATAGACACAAAGGCAGGTCGTCCTCCCCCTGGGTCTGAGCAAGCAGAGGCAGGTGGACAAGACACCTGCCATTCACTCCAAGGGCCTGAAAGGATCTCCCTTGGTATTACAACAGACAGCGAGTGCTTCTGCTGAGCCCTGAGAAAGTAACAGTCAACAATCTAGAGAAGCCCCTGGCACTCACTCAACTCAGAAGACTCCAAGAGGCCCAGAGGGGAGACACACATAGAGCCTGAAGCTACTCGCTCCCTCATCCGAGGTCCGCCCTGTCCTGCCCTCAGCTCAGAACTCCTGGCCCTGGGGACTCCGCGTCACAGGCAAGGAAACGGCTTACAGGGTGGGGTTGTCAAGGACACCAAGGTGGCAGGGCTCCCGGATGCATCCCCAATGCCTAAGCAGCGAGGGTAGGGGCCAGGGAGCGATGCCAAAACCAGGGCCTCCCACTGCCCTGGGAGAGCCAGGGCGGCCAGAGGAAGCTCTGAGAAACAGCTCCAAGGGAAGAACAGGGAGGTGAGCGTGGGCTGCGGCTGGCCCAGCAAAGAGGAGGCAGAGGCCAGAAGAGCTTTTACTGCAAACAGGAGGAGGAGGTTAGAAACCGCTTCCAGCTGCAATCAACCAAATGACATGCTTTTCCTAGAAAGGTCTGGAAGCTCCAAGCAAGTCTCCACAGCCTCCGTTTAGCATCAGTATTCAGTAAACTGCCGTTTTCAGTCATAAGAAAAGCATACTGGTTTCTCACTGCAGCTCATCAGCAAAAAGAACAGGAAACTCTCTCACGACATGTCACAACTCAAGGAAACGCGAAAGAGGACAGGATCAGCACCACTGACGGAAGAGTACACACTGAAAACGGAAATGACAAGCCACCGGGAAGATCAAACCACTTCACGTAACAGCACTGGCTTCCCAAAATGACTGCCTTGAATATCTAAAAAGGTTTTTAAAAGGCAAAAAAAAAAGGGGGGGGGGGTGTCTTCAAAAATGCTAATCTTCTTGACCTATTAAAAAAAATACTACTAAATATCAGTGTCCAATCTGAGGCACAATGGCTTTCTGCAAGAAACTAGATCAAACTCTGAACGATGAGGGGGTCGACCTAGAGACCAAGGTCTGTGTCTCGGACACAACAAAGGCCGCAGCTGAGCTCTAGTCCTTTCCATCTAAGCAAACGATGTGAAAGGCGATCATTCCCCATACCACGCACACACACACACTCACTCATACACACACACTCAGAGACACACACACACACACATACACACACACTCAGACACACACGCGCACACACACTCATACACACACACACTCAGACACACACACACACACTCACTCAGACACACACACACACACACACACATCCACCTGGCAGCGAGCTACGGGGCTCAGAAAAATTCCACCCGTGATCATGGAAATGCACCTGGCTCTCAGAAAGATGAAAGTCAAGCGCAAATGCCAGCCAAGAAAAAGACCTGCCCGGCAGATACAGCCACCAGATCTGCCTCGAACCCAAGTCACACAGCAGTGGAAGCTTCAGCCCTGCTCTTAACCAAACTCAAAGAACCGTTCAGGAAGCCGTATCCACAACAATGTCCTAGACTTCTGATTCTTGGAAATTTCTGTAGCAATCACGCCCTCCCCACCCCCAACACAGCCACCACTCCCCACAGCTACCCCCAACACAGCCACCACTCCCCACAGCTACCCCCAATACAGCCACCACTCCCCACAGCTACCCCCAACACAGCCACCACTCCCCACAGCTACCCCCAACACAGCCACCACTCCCCACAGCTCCCTGACATTCTCGTCCACCTTCAACAGCTCCGGTAACCCACCCTTTCTCCACTCGCCAGGAAGCCCCCTGGGAAGGCAAGCCAGTGTGTTCTAGGCTTTAAGACCATTTTTTTTTACTCAACATAAAACCCTCTTTCCAACGAAGCCAAGTAGGCAAAGGATCCACATCAGGACCCAATGGCGAGGCCAAGATTTGACCCTGGCCATCTGGGGCTCCAGAATTCCAAATCGAAAACCAGAAGAAAAGGCTAGAAAAGGCAAACCTTAAAAGTACAGTTACATCACACACGGGAAGAAGGGAGGCCAAGCATTTTTACCAAGGGATAAAAATCCGAATTGTTCTCTGCTGGGCCTTCACTAGTTTTACTGACAACGCCACCCCCCCCCACATACACACGTCCCACCCCTGCTGGCCCTGGCCAACGGCACTCACCCTTCTCTTCTCCTCCCACAGGGCAACAGGCACCGCACCGGGCTCGCCCACATCCCACACCACCCATTTCTTAGAAAACACACACTGAGCTGCCTGTCCTGGGTTTTTTCCTGTTCCTTTTTCTAAGCAGAGTCACAACTGGTGTGCTACATTTAAGCAGTCTGTATCTCAGAGCCTCCCAAGAAATGTTACTATATTTCCCCCTACATTTGCTTCCTGAGGTCTAAGAACTGGGGGAGGCATCAGTCAGCATGACTTGAGAGTCATGATTAGTCAGAGGGCAGGGAAGAATGGCAAGCCAGAAGACATCAGCTGTTTCCCAGAACAGGGCACCGCCAGCTGGGCTCGGAGAAGGGGCGAGCTGCCAGAGGATCACACAAGCTATCCTGGGCCTTTGTTCCTGCTTTCTGGCACAGAGCTCCCAAAAGCCCTGGAATTTCCTGGATGGGAGAGGAGTGTCTTTTGTTGCTCCCAGGGGTAAATGCTCTTTGAAGGGGCTCTGGGTGGGACCCTAAAAAGCCTCAGGAAGAGCACCACCCACACCTCTGCAGGGAAGGCAGGAATGGACATGGGGTTCAAGAGGGCTGCAGTTTCTGGGCTGGGGAGCACTCTGGGCTGGGAGCCTGGGGAAGGGTCAGCAGTTCCAGACTGTTCCCCATCCCTTGCCCCTAACCACTGCTGCCTTGTGGATGTTCCTGAGCCAAATGCTTTATAACCAAGCCTCAACAGAAGCATGAAGCAGAAATTACAAGAGGCCGACATCTGATTCAAGCTTCTGCACCGAGAGCCAGACCAAAACTTAAGTGGATTCCTCCATGCTAAGGGGAGGCAGCTGTGTCATAACTCAGAGCCTCGTTTGTTCTCCTGCTGACCTTGGCTGCCTCCAGGATGCAGCAGCAGAACTGAGTCACCGTGACTGGGTACCTAAAGGGAGCTAAGCAGCTTAGCTGACCTCTCAAAACAGCAGGGAAATGAGAGCTGACCAACTCCCCGGGTCTGATGGCACAGCTGCGCCTGCCTTGATGCTCACACCGAAACGGAAGCCTGAACAACCTGATGTTAGGCCATTAACTGCTCTTACACGGTCAGTGCCCCACCTGAAGTTAACTCGGAGATGTTCTTCTTTCCCTAGTCTCTGCTTTCTTCCACCTTCCCCTGTCTACAAAAGCCACCTCTTCCGCTCAGCACCTGTTGCACAGAACAAGGGGTTGCCCGATTCTGGAGTTGCAAATAAAGCCAATAAAGCCCTCTAAATCAAACCTTCGTCATTTTGTCCTGGACACGATGAACTGCTCTCCTGAGTCTGAGGAATAATTTTCCTAGCCAATTATCAAAACTGAGGAGGGGACCACAGCACCGCTGATGGTCAGTTTGGCCAAGGAGATGTGCAGGCAGCTCCTGGGGCGGACAACTGCCAGGTGAAACGGAGACAGGCTCTCCAAACATCTTAAGTCTGCACTAACTCTGAGTGGCTGCTGCTAGAACTGAACCAAACTACAGAATCAGAGACATAGCCATAAGGTAGCCATTCTCAACAAAGGGCAAGGGACAGGCATTGGGCATAGTGGTAAAGGTGTGGCTTGGGACGCCCTCAACCTGCACGGAAACGCTTGGGCTTCAGTCGTGGCTCTACTCCACATTTCAGCTTCCTGCCTATGGTCACTCTGGGAGGCAGCCGAGGACTGTTGAAGCAATAGGGTCCCTGCCACGCAGGTGGCAGACTGAATTTCCAGGCCCTTGTTTTGGCCTGAACTGGCTCTAATTTCTGTGGACTTCCAGGGACTAAACCATGAGATGGGAGATATCTCTCTCTCTCTGTTCCGCCTGCCTTTTCCTTTCCAATGAACTGAAAGAATAGGGAGATGGATAAGGAACGAATGAGCAAGGAATGAAGGAAGGAGTGATGTGGCAATTCCAGTCATGCTATATTAAGAACAAAACACACTGATAATGAACTCAGATGTTGGGGTGGGGTGTGGGGAAGGAGTACCTAATTAGTCATTTTTCATATTGGGTACATGCTGAAAAATCCTTGCTACTTTAGACTAAGACATGAACAAAATATTTAGCTAAAGCAAAGTAGAAAGTTACACACTTGCCTTTTACTTCTCATGGGCAATGTTGGGAGATGTTTTCATTTTTAAAAATCCAGGCACTGAAACCCACCATTCATCTCAAATCTTGAAGTTTGGAATGAAGAAACAGCAACCGCCTGAGGATGAGTGAAGAGGATATAATAAAGACTAAAAAGGAACAAACATAAATATACTTCCCAAATTCCTGCGAAATGGAATTCAAAGACAGCTTTATCTTGGTACAAAAAAAAAAAAAAAGTGAAACCCATGCGGGCAATGGGCCTTCAAAAAGTTAGTGGAGAAGTGGATAGCTTAATGCAGCAGCTAAGCCACTGCCAGGACACCTGCAGCCCTTCCAGCGGCTGCTCCACTTCCAATTCCAGCTTCCTGCCAACAGCCATCCTGGGGGAAACAGTCGGGGGATGGCTCAGGTACCGAAGTTCCGGCCACACCCATGGGAGACTTGGAGTTAGCACCAGGCTCCAGCCTGGCCCAGCTCTGGCTCGTGCAGACATCCAAAGAAGGAACCAGTGGGTGGGAAATACCTGCCTATTATCCACAGCTCTTTCTCCCTCTGCCTTTCAAACAACTACACTTTTAAAATATTCATGCAAAGTGTAATTATGAACAATGCATAAAACTTCATTATTTTCTACACCAAAATAAACTTGCCTTTTTAATGCCATTTTCTATGCACTTTTTGAAATATCCTTGTACTGGGATCTGCCCTTACCACATCTGACCTTACTGTTAACACTGGGAGTATCCTCCTCCTATCCCAAAGGTGGGATACCCTGTGGCAGGAAAACTACAGAACTAGAATTCCAATGGAACAGCTTCTGAGCTCACCTCTGTCTCTGCAACACACTTGGAGGACTCCTTCTGACATATACCTCAGGTTCTGTAGCCCACTGTTTATGATGGAGGCAGCCACAGGCAACAAACCAACAAATGACCCTGTTGTGCGTCAGGAACAGGAACAGATTCCCAAACAAATACATGCTTCTGCCATCCGTGTGGCACAACAGAACCCGTGAAACATCTCTCTCGCCAGACACGAAGATGTTCCTAAAACAATGCTGAGTGGGGACAGTCAAGTTCCGCTGCTAAGCTGTCACTGCCATGGGCAGATGTGCTGTTTAGCTCCAGAATGCTACTAGTGCTGCAAAGTGCATTCTCACCATGCCCTGGCAGCCTCTCCCTGACTCTGCCGCCCTCGTTCTCCAATCCTTTTAATGGCAGGCATCTCTGCCAGAGTCTGAGTCCTGACTCGACTCCCAATTCCCGCCCGCTGCTCCACCTTGCAGATGGCAGGTGATGGGTCCCCGTGACCCAAGCAGGAGAGCTAGACTGAATGCTCAGGGCTTGGCTTCAGCCGAGCCCAAGCCTAATCAGACTGCATGTAGGAGTCAAACACTACCTGTGAGCACGCTCTCTCTCTCTCTCTCAGGCTTCCTGTCTCCCTCCCTCTCTCTGAAATAAATAAATGCCTTTATAACATCTGAAAAACAGAAGGAGGATAGGAATTTCAGGGAGTGTCATCCAATAGCAGGCCCGGGATAACAGGATTACATCTGTGTGCAGCCTTCGCCACCTGCCACCATAGGACATGGCAAGGCCCACAATCTAAGCTTAGTGCCTTGTTCATGTCAGCCCCCAGGGAGTCTGGGGTCTTGGTCCTGCTTACACAAGAACACACAGCTACCACAAACACACACGCGCATGCGAATTCTTGTCAACAGCAACTTTGGGAGGCTCCCTTCCCAGGTATGACAAGCCAATCACAAATATCTGCTACCCCGTCTGAAAAACATCTTAAGATGATTAGGCTGCACTACCATCGTGTCACCTTGATGCTTACCTAAACAGGATACTTCATCTCCGCCACTGACTTCATGTCCCCAACCAGGCCCCCAGGAAGAATCCACTGATGAGAGCTAACTTTGCCCCCAGAGGAGAAGGCAAATGCCATGGCTGAAGACACTTCAGCTGCACTCAAGGAGTGGCTTCCAAGCAGGGACCAAGGCCAGCCAGAGGTGACAATCAGGGGGCATCATCTCAGTGGGCACAGCCAGACCCCCCTGGAGCCCAAGAACAACTTTAATGATTTTATTTTTAAAATAAAATACTTATTTGTGTGAAAGTCAGAGTTACAGAGAGAGAGAGGGACAGATCTTCCATTCACTGCTTCGCTCCCCAGATGGCCGCAACAGCCAGAGCTGGGTCAGGATGAAGCCAGAAGCCTCCTCCAGGTCCCCCCAATGGCAGCAGAGGCCCAAGCCACTTGGACCATCTTCTGTTGAAATTGCAGGTGGCAGCTCCACTTGCTTCGCCACCATGCTGCTCACCCCCTTTTCCCATCCCACTTTCAGTCAACTGATTTGTCCTGGTGCGTACAGATTCTCGTGGATTTGGTTTTAAAGCTGCAGTGACACCATTTACCATCATGCTGAGACACAGCAACAATGCCTCAAGAGAGGGGTGGCTGATGCTCAGTAGGAGTAAGAGACCACCATACCAGACTGAGAGCTGCCGTGACCCTGTGAAGGTCCACTGGGGCATGGCAAGGCAGAGGTACTCAAGACGTCCTGGGGTGGACTCTGCAGCCTCTGCCGGGAACTGATGCTGAGGACGCAACTCAGTCACCCTACAACGAGAGCCAAGCCCAGAGACGTGCGTATGCAGGCACCCCACCCACCAGAGCCAAAATGCACACATCCAACTCAGCAAACACAAGTGTGAGCACTTCCCTCTCTAAGGGATGGCACACAGAGATTACTAACAGAAGGGAAAAGAGTGGTCACACTGCGAACAGAACATTATACAAACGAGAAAGAGAAGGGGAGAAGAACAGTGAGATCTTCCATAGGATGGCTTCCTCTCCAAATGCCTGCCAACAGCCAGGGCTCAGTTAGGGCAAAACCCACCCAGAGCTCCTCTTGAGTAGCAGGGAGCCACAGAGCGGAACAGGGAGCCACAGAGCAGAGCAGGGAGCCACAGAGCAGAGCAGGGACCCACAGAGCAGAGCCATCATTGCTGCCATCCAGGCACATTAGCATGGAGCTGGACCTGAAGTGCAAGAGCTGGGATGGAAACCAGTTCTCTGACAAAGAAGGCAGGCAATCAAAGCAGTGGCTCCGCCATCTCAGCCCCCTCTCCAGCAGCTTTCTGAAGCACCTTCATAATCTCAGAAACCTAAGTTTCCATTACAGTGGGTAAAGCTGCTCCCTATGATACATGGGCACTAGTTCAAGTCCCAGATGCTTCACCTTTTTTTTTTTTTTTTATTATTGGAAAGCCAGATTTACAGAGAGAAGTAGAGACAGAAACATCTTCCACCCATCGGTTCACTCTCCAAGTGGTCACTATGGCCGGAACTGAGCCCATCCAAAGCCAGGAGCCAGGAGCTTCTTCTGGGTCTCCCATGTAAGTGCAGGGTCCTAAGGGTTTGGGCCATATTCTCCTGCTTTCCCACGCCACAGGAAGGAAGCTGGATGGGAAGTGGAGCAGCCATGACACAAACCAGTGCGCATAAGGGATGCCAGCGCTTGC